GGGAATTCTGTTAACGAGGCGCATTGCTGTTGCCCACCTCAGCAAGCCCTCGCACCGTTCCACAGAGCCTCCACTTAAATGGATGCTTCCACCCGAAAGTTAAAGGGAAAGTTTATCTGGGTGTTAGTTTTTTAAAAACCCTCAAAGTACTTTTTGGTGATTAGGTCCCGGAATAGTTAGGTATTACTCCATTTCATATGCAAAGAGAGGTGTTCGGTCCAGTTTTGATTCTCTTCAGGCTGGTTCCAGGCTCTGAGGCAATGCTGACAGGGGCCGAGCTGCCTGGCTCCCGCCAAAAGAAACATTAAAACGTAGGGAAAAGGTATCTATGTTTGGAAGACTTTTTTTTTTTTTTTTTTTAATGGGACTTAGAATGGCACAAAAACAGCCTAACAGGAAAAAGATCCAGGTTTGGGACACTGATATCTTTTAAATACTGTTCAACACCTTATGCCTACAGTTCTAGGTCATAATGACGTAGGTGGAGGGTTGAGAAGCTCACAGGTAAGTCGCCAGCAGTTCAGGAGAAGCTGCTGTGACCAAGCTGCTCTGAGCCAGGAGAAACCACACCCCTAATGAGCAAAGAGACCTGCGCTGCTGGTGTGACAGCAGCCTTCAGCTACAGTGACAACTGAGACCGCAGGTTAAGGACAGCATATGGGACTTAGTGCCTTAGAGGAGTCATTAAGTGCCATCAGCTGGAGCTTTCCGTGTCAGGCAGTGAGCAGAATATACTATACGCAAGAAATACAAACACACCACACTTCTTTATTGAGTTACTTTGTGTACAGACAGATACATATCAAAATACTGAAGTCATGCCAAACAAATTTCTCGCTTTTTCCTCTCTGGTGAGTAGTCATAGCATTAAAATTATGCCAGACAGATACCTCTCGATTCTCTAGTTGAGAATATATACTATAACGGTAAATATTGAGAAAAGCATTTTTTGAGGTCCTGTCATTCTCACCCAAAACACCCAGAAAAAGATCCTTACTGAGGTCAAAGAGTGCTGGATCATTTTATAGAAGTATATAACTGAAATTGATCTGCATTTATTCAACAGCAAAATTTTTCATTAACATTTTAAAAATATTTTACCATTTTTCACTGTCTCTCTACTGAAGACTTGCATATGACACATTGGTCACTTTCAAACACATTACTTGATTTTTTTTTTTTTTTTAAGAAGTTGCTTTTTTTACCATAGGTTTTCAACACAGACTCTAGCTGTAGCAAATCCTGAGGAAGGTTTGCATCTTACTCCAGTCTCTGCAAACCACTGCATGGGAAATGGAACACTCTGAGCTTCTGAGCTTAAAGAGAAACCTCTGACAGTTTTCTTTCAACATTATCTGCCTTCAAAGCGAAAATCGGAGGACAGAGAACCTCCACACAGCTAACAAAAGACGTGTAGATGTGGCACTTGGGGACATATTTTAGTGGTGGACTCAGCAGTGCTGGGTTAACTGCTGGACGCAATGAATGTAAGGGTCATTTCCAACCTAAACAGTTCTATGATTCTATAACATAAGCCAATTAAAATCTTAGTTCAAGCTCATTGGCAGGAATACTCAGGCTAGCTAAAAATTCCCATACAGTCTAATCAGAAGGCAACCTCTAATGACTATATCCACTTTTGTTCCAAAAATAAAATAAAAAATCAAAGGAACCATACACAGACAAAAGCTGTAACAGTGCCATGATGGTTTTTATGCCTTTAATGGCAGTGTACATAGAATTGTGCAAAGTTTTCAAGAAGTAAAATAATCCAACTTCTGGGGTTTTTCTTTATTTCAGAGAGAAGATGGCTGCAATGGCTGCAAATACTGCGCCTGGCACAAACATCCTAGCACCGAGTGGCTACCCAAACCCAAGGGTGTCCAGTTCAGCCAGTCTGCACAGCTCCTTTGTGTTTTGCTTCTGAAGAATGGGGGGAGACTCCACGTACCTCAACAGACCTAACGTACCAAACCATCCTTTTAGTACCAATCTATGCATTGTGTACAGACTTTGAGGAAGAACCGTCTAACAAAGATGAGTTAATTAGTAATTAGTTTTGTTTGGTTTATATTAATTGAGACAAATTCTTCATTTGGTTACACTCTTCCTGGAGTGCTTCGTGAAGTAAGGGTTATGGTTCTACTTTTAAATGAACTCCACTGGAGATTTTCATTTACAGAAAGCAAATTTTATATCTGCATTGTAAATAAATATAGTTTAAACCAACAGTAAGTACTTTCAATTTAACACTCTATACTGACTGGAATAAGTAGTTTACAAAGAAGAAATACAAATAAAACAAGTATGTATATGTATATATATTTTATATATATTAAAAATACACCTCAAAACCTGTTGATTTTTTTTTGTTTGTTTTAAGAACTATGCATTTTAATGTCATGCCAAGACTATGCACAAAGCTTTAACTCTTTGTACATAAAAATTGGTCAAACCACAAAAACGACCTCTGGCCCATTACACGAGATCACTCCCTGAAGAGAGTGAAGATTTCATGTGAATAAACCTCTCTAGCAAAGAGCAACTGCTCTGCTTTACTCTTGAGGAACAGAAGTTGATTGTACTTGACCACAGAAGCTAAAGCCATAGGGGCTAGACTGTGGTTTTGTGGCCACAGCCACATTTTCAGATTGTGTGTCTGCGTACGTGCGTATACACCATGCGTGGAGCAGGGTTTGTGGGAGCCAGTCTCCCTACAGTTTGCTGCCTCAGGTAAAACTGCTCTCTGGAAGGGTAAAGGGTATAAACAGGTACATTACCTACCGTAATTTTGCTGTGCCCCAGTAGCACTCACGCCAACTATTCGAAGGGCAATTGTTGAGCCTGATCCTCCTGCTGTCAGTTTCCCTTTGCTACCTACCACCCTCACCTAGTACAATTTCCCATGCTGGTCCTCCTATTCCCTTCCTTCAAACGCTCCCCACTCAGCTTCTTTATTCCTGCATTCGCACTTCACTTACTTACTTAAACAACCTCTTCATGTTTGAACAACCCCTTCAACATTTCCTTCGCCTTTCACCACCTGTTTAACAGCATTGTGTCTTCACTCATAAGCAAAAGCACGGCCTAAAACAGTTGCTTCAAGCAAAACACATTTCAAAGCTTAACAGTATCTAATACAATCCTGGAGCAGACTTCTGGATATAAACATGCTACTATCACTGTTTTCCATGATTTTTTTGTCTTTTTACCTCACAAGCTCTCTGGTTGCAGGGACACTATCTCCCCACAGGTCTGCGCAGACCAGAGGAGGCTCTGCCGCCTGAACTGTACAAGTGCAGTGTCTTGTCCAATGCCCTGGTGAAGTACAACACCGAGACAACACACAGGGAGCTGGGTTCTTCTACCGTCTGCTCATCAGGCTGCTTCCCCCTAAATGGTTTATTCTTGGTAGCCAAAACCAAAAAGTTATATATACATAAATATATAAATAGTAACAAAGACATGAGGTCGCACTTCATGTTTGAAAATGCAAGAAATGTGGTTAAGAGATCACAAATTTGCTACAACTGAAATCTTGTACAGTCAGTATAAGCAAGAACAATCACAGCAGGAGCATTGGCTATTCTACAACATCCAAAGTGTTTTACTGAACATAGCCAAAGAAAAGACATTTGTTTCTCCTTTAAATTGAGATCGACTTGTTAGGACACACTGGCATACAACTTTAATCCTCTAAGTCTAATGGAATCTCCTCATAATGTAACTATTTGTTCAAGATTTTTGTAACTATTTATGCACTCTCAAAGATCATCAAAGCTTACAGTAACTTGAATCTGAAATTCCCAGATTAAAGTTTCCCGTTTTAGTTTTCCTTTCTAATATGGTTTAGCTTAAACAAGTAAAATGCACCCTCTGTTGGGCCAGGCATGGAATGACTCTTTTCCAAGGTCATCTTTTTAACAGCGTGGTTTATCAAATCCTGTTATGGAGGCTTGTTTTTATGATTAAGTGTCTACTAATGTACAAGTCATACAAACATCTGAATCGGTACTAGACTGAAAAGAAACCAAAGCAGAAGAGAATATTCAAAGCTACTATATAGCCACCGGAGATTTATGACGTTTTTCTAACACTGCTTACATCTGTAAGAGTTGTAAATCTTCCCAGTGAGCACTGGAAATGAATTTATTTCAACTTGAAACAAGTCGATATCTGTACTTCATTTCATCACCAAAGCACAATTAACACCCACTAGCAATGCAACGCGTTTTTTTTGAGCTGGACAAGGATTGGTGTATTCAAAAAGCTACGCACAGAAGCTCCCAAACATATTTTGGATAAGGATGCTACAGTAAACTCTCAATATAAAAGGGGGTTTATTTTATCTGATTTTTTCGTATTAGGATGGTTCCAAGTAAAGGTGGGATTCGGTGAAGTAAAACCGGACAGTGTACCAGAACAGAAAACAGCAAAAGGTGAGGTCTCCAACCGTCACAGGCTGAAGCCTACACCCACATGAAAAAAACTCAACTGCTTAGATGAGCGAAGTGAATATGGGCTGCTGTGTGAACACTGGAGTCTGAAACTCATACCACAGCGAGGAAGAAAGGTTGTGCAATAAACGGACATCAGAACAGAAAGAATATGCTCTTCTCAAACCCAGAAAAGGTAAATGGATCGCATGAGAAAACAAGGGAGTGAAGAGAGGATGGGGTGCCGGGACAGTGAGCTGGGATGCAAAGTTACCAAGGTCTGCCAAGCTGCAGCAAAGGAAAGCTTCCCTGGAGCATGAGAAGATGCCCCATTTAAAACAGAAAAAAAGCATACAGACTCCTCTAAGGTCTGCATTTAACCAATCCCTTTAACAATGATAATTAATAAAATTGCATTGTGGTAAAATATAGTAGTAAGAAAAAAAACTTCCTACCTTGAATGTATTCAGCTGCTGATTAATAGTCTCTGTTTCCATTCCAACAGGACCCTGTGACTCTTCGTGTTCTTCGGCTCTCCCAAGCAGACTGGAGAATTCTTTTAACTTACTGTAAAACTCCTCAACACGGCTAACAGTACCCTCCACTTGATCCTCCCTGGCTTTTGCTCTGTCTAGTAGCTTGTTGCACTGTTTATTTAAAGCTTCCAAGTCCCTTTTTATACCTACAAGATCAGGAGAAGCTTCAGCTTCTGTGGCTAGCATAATTTTACAGTTTTTATTTGCATTTTCATTATTCATTATAAGATCCTCCAGCTTTTTCAGGAAACGTTTTATGTCCTCTCTCTGTGACTGCAATACCTCAAGATCTCTCCCTACTGGAGCCATGCTATCAAGTTCATCATCAAACTCCGCAAACTGAGAGAACATCTCTCGGATGCTGTTTTGGAAATGGCCGATTCCCTGGAGTTTTGTCTCTAAGAATGAGCACCTATCTTCAACCTGCTGATTCACCACCATGTATTCTCGCTCCAAAGATTCAGCTTGGAGCAAAAGGTCAGAAACCCCTTCTGAACCAGAAGCTTCTACCACCAGTTCTTGGGCAAGCTTTTTCACTAGATCAACATGAGGCTTTAAAGCTTGCAAGGCTTTCTGCTGCGTCTGCATCATCGTCAGGTGTTTGTTACTGAATGACTGAGGTCCAAGCGAGTCGTGAGCTTCCAGATGCTCTTTGGCACTTTTAAGCTGTTTTTCAGTTTCACTGGATGATTCTTGAAATTCTTTCAGCCTTTGTGCCATATTTTCCAAGCACTTTCTCTTCTTATGCAACTCTTCTGTGACCATGTTCACTTTCTGATTCAGCATCTTAGTTTCTTCTTGAACAACTTCTTTATCAGTTTGACTTGCACTGAGCAAACTTTCAGCAGTGTTATTTAATAGCTCCACCATCCCATGGTGTTTATCTAAGTCCTTCTGCCAGGCCCTCACCTGAACAATAGAATTCTCTATTTCAACAGGGTTTATGCTGACTTTTAATTCACACAGGTTGCCTTGGCACTTCTCTATCCATGGCTGCAGATCTTCTACATGCTGCTTGTATTTGAGGGCTTTCTCCAGACAATCTGTTAATTTATCTTGCCTTTCTTTTACCTGCTTATTCATTTCATCCCAGTTACTTCTGAGCGTGGCAATTTGGGATTGTAATGCTGCTTTGTCATCTCCTTGAGTCTTCTGTAAGATGCTTTCTCCTTCCGCAACAATTCTTTCATATGAACTTATCTGGTCGGTCATGGTCTTCTTAAAGTCTTTCTGTTCTTCGATTAGTGATTGCAAGGTATCCAGTTTGGCTGATACAGGACGAGCCTGGTTCAGCTCTTCTTTCTTTTTGCCTAGCCAAGCCTCAAAGTCCTTAGACATTTGCTGGAACTGATGAGAAGTGGCATACGCCAACTGAAGCTGCTGAACATGGTTATCTGCAGAAGAGAAGACAGTGCAGAAGTTCATCATCAGAACCTGCTAGTATTCAGTGAAGAAATAAAAATTAATATCGATTCTATTATGAAGGATCATTAATTAATCATTAAGGATCAACGCTGGTCCTTAGTATGTGGTGTTCAACTGGAAGACAACCAAGGCAAAACTGGAAGACAACCAAGTCAATCAAGTTTCTTGCAAGGGACAGACTTGCACCTGCACTACTGCAGAGCAGTGAAGGCATCTGGACATGCATCAAATGAGGTGAGCTTAGCCCATCTGTGTCTACACAAACCCCATTCAGGGAGACTTCAGAGGTAAAAAACACACAATTGTGTTTCATGGTATTATGACGTGTAAGCACAGGGAATATTAAGAAATCCATCCTAGTAGCATTTAACTCGCGGCCTGCAGGCAGTATGTGTTCTTAGGGAGATCCTTTGAAGTTCCTTGTAACCAGAGGAAATTAAAAGCCAAAACTGAGGCTGTTAGGGAGAACAAAGTATGACATTGCTTGCAGTGTACTACTGTTGTTCACAGGGTACGGGCAGGCTGCAGACTACCAGCCCCCTTCTGTCACAGACAGTTTTATACAATTTCCACTGCATTTCACCAAGCCGTTAACTGGTGCTTGCCTAAAAATGACAATTTTGGCTTACACTCTGCAGAGTTTGGTAGCTCAATGAACAGCATCCTCTTTTGGCATTCTAATTCAGTGAAGATGCATCTGAAGGAAGAGATGGCAAAAGCAGCCCTGTTATGCTTTAAATTCTCTCCCAAACTAGATATCCCAAGTATTGCCTTTACCTTTTTAAGATATGGGGACTCTCCTAAATGCTAACGTATAACTGGCTGGGGGCTGGCCTAGACAGAGAGCAGGCAATAGGCTCAACATTCAACATCTATAAAGACAAATGAGATTATGATGCTTTATTTATGCCTTAGCTACTATTTTTCTTTAAATAGATACAAACCTGATTTTTGCTCAATATCTTTAAATGCTTTTAAGATGCCATCTAACTGTCTCACAAGTTCTGCTTTCAAATACTCTTCTCCAACCAGTGTTGACAGTTCTTCACAAAGAGCTTGAGCTGCATTTATATTCTTCATTTCCTGTTGTATTTCCTTCTTCATTTCTCTAGCTATCTCCAGTTGTTGTTTCACAGCATCAGGTTGTGTGCTCACAGCCAGGCTGCTGCTTAGCTTACTATCCAAGGCACTTAGCTTATCAGACAGACTTCTCAGTAGACTTTGATACTCTGTGCTTTTCACAATGGCTTGGTCAATTTGGTCACATCTGTTCCTCAGCTGGCCAGTTAGACTGTCCCATTTTTGTGCCACAGCTGCCAGTTGCTCTTTTACAATTTCATGAGACGGCGGATGTTCACCAGGTCTCTTCAGAATCCCTTCACCAGCCATAGTTAACTGCTCATACTGTGGCTTTCTGGTCTCAAACTCTTTAAGCAGAATCTGAGAAGAAAGAAATTTTAAAAAGCACTTACCTCATGAAAAAAAAAATATATAAAGCAAAGTGCTTCTTACAAGTCACATTGAATTTGTTGTAGCTAAACTCTCTTACTGAGTAATCAATCCCCACGTTTAAAAGCCAGTAAAGTAATGACGTCTTTTATACAGACTGTGTTGTTTCCAAGCTCACATATCAAAGACCCAGAAAAAATGAGGTGAATTTACACAACATCTAATGGAAATTCAATCAGCAGATACAAGTTAACAATGAATTCTGTTAATACTACAGCAATTAGGTAACTGTATCAAGTAAAATAATCGTTGTTTAGTTTCAGGCAATGTCTTCTTTCCTAGACAGATTCGATATTTGTCTTAAGACAGAACTTCAAAGAAGGTGTATTCTGACATAATATTGCGAAGTATTATTATAGCACAGAGAATATTTGGATAATTTGCAAAATGACTGAATGTGTACTGTAAGACCTTTGAGGTTTAGATCACTGCTTCCCAGCCTTTTTTCTTTTTTTTTTATATTAAGTCACAGTGCTTGCAGAAGAAGGGATAAATATCATTGTTTCACTTTACAAAATGCTCCAAACTCTTTCTTTTTAAGTCAATTACATTTAACTTTTAAGGACTGTTAAGTGATACACATTAGTCTTATGCTAGCTGTCTAGATTTCTGAAGCACTTATCAGTACTAAGTAATTTTCACATAGTATTAGAATATACTTCAGATTTTAAACACTTCATTTGAATCAATATCAATATGCCAGTTTTAATATTTTTGCAAAATAATTTTTTTTCTCAACACAGTTTAAAATAACTGAAGGCAACAGAATTGTTTGAAATTATAATTTCTAACTTTTGTTTCTTTTGTTTCTGTCTTGCTGTCTTTCCGTAAGTAAACTACTCTGCGTTTTCATTACACTTTTTCTTCTGGTTGTGTTCATTACACTTATTTCTTCTGTCTTTGACACTCTTGGCCCCATATCTAGTCATATATCTAGTCAAGTGAATAAAATCTCAAAAAGATAGTTCTACATCATACACCATATATAAGGACTGACCATAAAATGTTACATACATACTCAAATTAATATGACTTCAAAGGAACAATTTTCGTTTGACTACAGAGAAACCACAGTATGGTCAAAACAAAAACTGTATCAGTGGATCAGTATCTCATCAGTGTTTTTTTCCTTTGGCTGTCCTGATCTCTCTTCACTCTTGATTTTTTCTTGTAATTACTGTAGTCAAATATGACTTAAGCAGGTATTAGCTCAAAAACAAATGTAGTGGCTCATACTCACTGTGCTGTACTCTATCTAGATGCAAAACAGCACTTTGCTAATAGCAAAAAAGAAGAAACTCAAATCAATAATGCATCTTGGCAATACTCACCTGAACCTGTTGCTTTTGTGTGTTCAGCATATTAGGGTCAATTGATAGTGGTCCCAGTACGCTGACCATTAGCTCCTTCTCTACAAGCCAGTGCTTCAGCTGAGCTTCTGCTGTCTGGAACTGGGTCAGGTAATTTGAAGACTCCTCCAGTTTTTGTTGTCTCTCAGATGTAACTCGATTGAGCTCTTTCCATTTGGAATCTAACAAGGATAAGGTTACTATATTGCATGCATGTTCTAGCAGATGGGTTGTCAGCCAGCAGGCTCTATGTGAAACATAAACAGAGCTCTCTAACGAAGCTTCTTGCTGATTAACTCCACATGCCATATTGCAGTGACTCTGCAAATACATCTTTTAACTGTCAGATCCATATACTCTTGGATGAAGGTCTGCAGTTTAGCACAGCCACGTGCAGAATTTTTAGAGCAATGAATATACAACATGTAGTAAAATTGGATTAGAATATTACTAAATGAAATACCAACAAATTTAGGCTTTGGTCTCAAATTACACAAAAGCCAAAGGGCTGCACTCAGTTACAACTTGCGTGTCTGATTTGGATAAGACAAATCTTCCTGCTTATTCAGTAAAAAAAACCAGATACCTTTCCAAGGGTGAACAGAAGCCACAATTTAGGCTGCTACACTGAACAGCCCTCTGAAGGAGCACACCTCTTTCAAATATGGAGATTAGCTGCCTGATTTAGACATCTAAACCAGATACATAATGACAGGCTATGAGAATATTTCTGCACATAGGTATTTCGAAAGTGCTGTGTCAGCTTAGGTTCACCCTAGGCCAGCCTATGGTCTCTTCTACCTGTAGCACGTGGCTTACAGAACAGCCAAAGTCTTACAGTGTTATAACTTCCCCCTTCCCTCTGTGACACTGTCAGTGCTCGGTCAGCTCTGATAATTTGTTAATTCTCCTTGTCCCTGAATTTCATCTGGGTTTTCTCAGTTTCTTTTGCCACTTCACTGTCTTTGACCTCTGCTCGTTCTGTATTAATTCCCTTTCAACACTATGCAAGTTCTTTTGGAGACCTTACCTCCTACTTAAACTTTTCAGCGATTCACTTACAAACACGGTAGATTGGAAAAATATTTAGCTTTAAAATTACTTTTACTGTAGCTATAGAAATGTCTCTCAGTATGAAACAAGATTGACCTATGATTTATTTAAAATATGACAAACCTAAGAAGAATTTTTAAAAGCTCACAACAATCATGCACTGCATTCTCTAGATCTATTGTCTAAACATGGTCATTTCCAATGTGGTTTTTTCATTTTTTTTTCCCCCAAAATTTATGGAATCGGTTTTAGAAAATGGCAAAACGCCACCAAAACCACAAAATGACAGGAGTCACTAATGCATGGGGAAAAAAACATGCAGAAGAGCATTACCAACAACTCAAACTGTTCTTTGTGTGAGATTAGCATTATTTGTTATATTTTGTAAAAAGAACAATGTATGTATCTGGAGCAGTCAAAGTTCTAGCTGCATGCTGTTTGAAGAAGGTAAAGCCCTCTCAAACAGGGAGCCAAGCCATAGTCTCTCTCAGTTCCACTGATATAAATTCAAAGCCCACAGGCACCAGTGGAATTACTCCAGATCTACACTCTTGTACAGAGAGTTATTGCCACAGAATTTAAGGGGTAGGAGGAAGCAAGGTAGTAGAAACACTACTGATTGCTAATAGATTAAAAAAAAAAAATCATAATAAAACAAATTCCAAATCAGTCTGAGCTATAATACAGCTTTACTGAAGTACCTATTTTATCCAACATTTGTCTCCACTTGGGTGCCTCAGGAGAATCAGGATTCTTCTCCAACAACTCTGTCACTTTGTCCTTCAGTTCCTGCACTTTATTTGCACTTTGCTTTAATTCCATCTCAAAAAGCTGCAAATTCAAGTGATAAAATAAATAAGAGACTAAAGAATAATGGTAGAAAGTGTAAAGTTTGAAGTCAGTAATACTGAAAAGCATAAAGATCAAGAATAAATATGAATTCTATATGAAGCACTTTCTAATGGCATATGCTGCTTTTTTTTTATAATCTGACAGCTATAAACTATATTATTAACAATTATTGTTTAATTTGAGTGAGTTACAGAACTTGAAGAATTCAGATAAGTAAGATCCACTAGGTGCCATCATATTCACCTATACTTGGAATCTACTCTTGTACAGAAGGCAAACTGAGTAACACACAGCAGCGTTCACAGCAGAAATAACCCTGCTGGCACCAGAGAGGAGCGTGGTGTGTCCTCGCCCACCTTACAGACTGCTTCTTGTAGTTCATGCACAACTATAGTTCAAACAGCACTGTAGCTTAAAGTGTAGACCTAGCAGGAGGATGAAATGCCCCACAGCAATTCCTAATTCGTGCTGCTCTTACAGAGAGAAGCAAACAGGCCTTATATGCCTGGCAAAGGGCGCTTACATGAATATTCTTAAGTAACAAAGCTTGCCCAATAGAGCTGTGGTTTAATTAACCAAAGCCCACTACACTAAACACTGAACAAACTGTACTTTATTTAAAACTTTTAGGAAAAGGTCCAACTGCATCAGAAGGATGACTCTTGCCTGAGCTTCTACTCAGTTTTCCAACTATCTGCTGTTACTACGCTGAGAGCAAGATGGTTATGTTAGCTTTGCACATTTTCTGTTAAAAAATAAGGAGCTAGTTTCCTTCCACATTTAGTTTGAGTTTTAGGACTGAATGTTATCCGAGTCTGAGGAAAGCTAGTAGCTGTTCAGGTTAATTTTTAAGGGTGACCTGCCAAATATAAACCATGAACCTCAGCTGAATCAAATTCTGTCCTTGTTCATCCACAATCACAGGCAGGGAAAGAACTTTCCCTATCCATTGTATTTCCCTTTACAGATGAACCTTTACATGTGTCAATATTGTCCATCACTGCTAGAGAAGCACACATCTCCAGTGCTGAAACAGGTCAGAAGCTTATCCATTTTTTTTCCTATCAATTAAAAAGTGGGGAGGAGACTGTTGTGCAGCTATCTATCTTAACAAGCGTGACATGGCTGCTGAAGAGAAAGACTGCCTTGGAACAGACATAAGCTGTTGCAGCTGTAGAGACCAGGAGGTCTGTGGAGTGTCAGTAAAGCAGCAGCTGCAGAAACAGCTTTTGGATAGATACAGCCCTTCAGATCTCACAAGCAATCCAGCATGTATCTCTAAGCCACCAAGAAGATCAAAAAAGGTTTACTCCATGACCAACATAGCCTCACCTATTTAAACAGACCACCACAATTATTATTTTCTGACCTGCACAACAACTCTCTGACACTGTGCTCTTTTTACTCCACTGACACAGTTTTCCAGCTTTTCTCTAATCCTGACTGGCATGCTTACTAGGATCATTTAAATACTCTCTGCAGCATTAAGCTAGGCTGAGATATTGGTTGTTCAAACAGAATCTGACCAATAAACGCAAGAAAGAATATTTTTTTGAAGGCAAAAAGTACCTTATGTTGCTCAACTTGGGCTTTAACTGCTTCACTGTCAGTTGGAGCAGCTTCCCAGTCTGATGCAGTTTTGTCCATTTTTTGCAACCATTGCATCATTGAGGTTGATTCTTCCTGAATATTCTGCATTTTTGAAAGCATACTTTCTAGTTCTGAAATCTTTTCCTTCAATAAAACTCCCAAATCTTCATAAGCATGATTTACATCAGACATGGCTTGTTGAACAGTTGTCAGTTCTGTAAAAGGAGAAATGCACAAAGACTATGTTAGAGGTTACAAGCCCTTCAAACAACACTTCAGACTTCAAGAACTTCTGAACAGTACTCTGAGTTACAATAGCTTATAGTCCTCCAAATAAGAAGTTGCTGAACATGTTACAGCCATTTCCAATTCACTCTAAATGCAGATGCAGTAGTGCTACATCTGAATGATCTAAGGTCAGTTCTCATTTGCAAAGGCTTCTCATTTCACAGAAATCATCACTTTAATATACAGAGGTACACAAGTGCCTTTCAATCTTTCTACCCATTGTTATTTTGGTATTTCAAGCAACAACTCTATGACAAGAAGCTGAAGATACTGAACTACAGTTCTGTTACTTGAATGAGAGCCTAACATTAATGCAATAATATTTTGCACACACTCATGTACCATTATAAATGTGTTTTATCACTGAGAGAGCACAAGCAGGCAGACTGTGTACTAAGTAGACGATAGTTAGAACAGATCCTGCAGACCCAGTACTTGGTTACCCATAAACATGTACAAAGTGCCTGTGTAAGTTCTTTTCTCTCTGTAAAGGGCTTGGGCACATACAGTGATACAAATACATGTAAAATGGATGTATTGTATATCTGTTTGTGCATGTTGTAAACACCGGTGGGTGTTAAAGAGTTCCAAACCACATACACACGTATTAGAAACTTCTCAGAAGTCATGAGTTATATTAAAATAGCTATTTCTGTATGCATTTATAGAAGTACATATTGGTCCAGAAAACACAGCCAGATTTGAGCAAAAAAAATACTGCAGTTAGGTATTCTTATATATAATTTTAGTATCATGTCCTAGTCAATATAGTTGCCTTACATGATGGTAATGTGAAATTTCAGTCTAGTAGTGACTGCTACATGCAGATTTATGTATAACATTTTAAAAGTGTTTACATATTTAACAGCAATTGTCGAGTACATTTCTTTAGCACATCCTGAAGTTTTTACTGACCTTTATTTTTCAGGAAATCCTGAGTTCCTGGAGCTCCTCCTTCACCATTTAACATTGTGCCACCTGTGGATCAAGAAAGACAAAGTCCTATGCTTATCTGGGCCTTTTCCCACCAAAACCCCAGCACTGCACTTCCTCTTCAAAACAGCATGATACATAGCTCTAAATACAACATTAAAGAAATACCTGAATGCTAACCTTCTAATAGTAATATTTGATTTCAACTTTAAATAATTTAAGGTTGTTTTATGTTTTAAGCTGCTCCCCAGCTAGTACCATAAGTGGTACCACACACACAGAGCATATGCCCAGTGGCTGAGGGTGCACATGCACACACATATAAGTATGCTGATATGCAAGCTGTATAAGCAGTCCTACTGCTCACAGTACTATGCTAAATAAATTACTACAGGGGACAAAGGTCTATGCCCTACCTCTCGGGCTCGGTCACATCCATATGGCTAACAATTTTCTTCATCTCCCCAAAAAAGAACCTGTTCCCTACTGCCTACTGGAGAACATGGTTTTACCCAGCTGCGTGTGGGTATGGCCAAGGAGAGGGCTAGCTGGCAAACACCAAGACTCTGGGGACAGCACTAAACATTAAACAGCAAAGCCGCCCAGAGTGGTCATTGCAGACACCACAACCAAAGACACTTACTCAGGTCACCTTCACCCACCAAGGAAGTGGTTGTAACACCAACCCTGTAAGTGTTTTCAGGCGTGCAGGCGTGGTGCTTAGAGACACAGGTTTAGTGGTGGACTTGGAAGTGTCACGTTAGTGGTTGGACATGATGATCTTTAAGGGTCTTCTTCGAGTCTAAATAATTCTGCTATTTAGCAACACTGCACCTCTGCAAAAAAAATTCTTGATACCAAACTGGATGAATCCTTCCCTATCTTACCATGAGAAAGACCAGAGCACATGCTCCATGACAGGGGTTGTAATGCGGAGTTATTAGTGTTGTTCCTGAAGTTCTCGCTGTCTCACAGAGGCAGTCACCCACCCAGCCAGCCCTACTAATTAAATGTAATTTCCAAGCCTCTGGAACCAGGGCTACAGGGGCTTTGTAAAACGCCATCAGAGCACAGAGCTGGGGCACATGGTCAAACCACAGAGAACTGCAAGCAGAATTACTTCCCGCTCTCCTGCACATTTGTGTTCCCAGAGGAGCAATTAACAGATAAAGATTAACTGTTGCCTTGGAGAAGGCTATGCATCCACCCCTCAGTATCAGCTGGACAGTGAGGACCACATTAGTGGCAGCTGGAGGATGGCAAGAGAAAACAAACCAGATACGAGAAGTCACAGGCCCCAGCCAGAGCCTCGTAAATCTTCATGCTCTATTAGCCAGACTCCAGTATTTGTAACTGTGATTAAGTGATACACAGTACAGCTCTTGTCTAGCAGGGCAAATATTCTAGTCCAGAGGATTATAGCTGTTCTTATATGCTAGTCATTTAATTATTTTTCTATCTGCGTGCATAGGAATACGGAAAGGGAGAGAGGAAGGAGCACAAATATCCCATATAAGGTTCCAAAATGTCTAGTGAAAAGACTTTTACTTAAAATTCAAACGAGAACAAAACCATCCTCCCAGTTCTTTGTGGATGACCAGTGAAGGACAACACACTTGAATTTATTTCCAGACCTAGTCAGTTCAAGAACTGACTGAAAATGTGCTTATGGCTATGAAATCATGCTAGGTGCACCACATGCTTTTAGCTACCACTTGAACGACACTTAGCAGAATTACTGGGTTTTGTGAAGCATTTTAACATTTAAACAGCAGAGTATAGAAAATCCTGGAAATAAATTTGCTATCTTTAAAATCAGATTACCAGTAAAAAGGATTTAGCTGAAGCTCCAGACTGGAAACACATTTTGGCTCAGGAAAGTCATGCTGCAATATGGAGTTGATTCCCTTTTCTGCTATTATTTCAACTATATTTCAATATTGACTAATATTTATTATTTAATATTAATTAATTATGCTATCCTATTGGGATGAGTATCTTTGCCTAGGCTGACTTTTTAGACAAACTATGTTCTCATTACCCTTCTACCAAGTACTCCATGACTCTGAAAACCTTTATGTGTTTGCTTGGTGTCACACAGAACAGCCTTGTGGCCATGAAAGAAGTATCTCTGTAGCAGCAAAGGTGGGCAGGTCCATCAGCATTTAAAAAACAGAGTTTGTGTTTGTCCTGCTTGCAGGCTTGGTGGGCATGTGAGGCACTGAACACCAACTGGAGTAAGTTGGCTTCTCATTATCACAAACCTTCTGGGGTGAAGGCAACCGTGGTACTGTTCATTTTCTTCACTATCTGGGAATTAACATACTGAAGTAACAGCTTTGGGACCTGTCAGTCATTTCCACCAAAACACTTTTATGCTATTTTGGCAGTGTAAAGCAATCAGAATGTGCACTGAATTACTACAGCAGTTAGTTTCAATGAGAGTCACAGCAAAGAACAGCCAGAACAGACACGGCTAACTGACTTCTCACAAGCCAGAACATTCACAGAGCTAACCCAAGGATGAAATGCTTTCATTTTAGTCTTAAAGGTTTTAACAATTCCTGAAATGCTAGCTTTACCCGACTATACGAATGCATACCTGATTTTGCCACTGCTCTCAGTTTGGAAGGAGAAGTCACAGCAGTAATCAGATTACACAGCAACGTTCCTCTGCTATTCATTTTCTGCAGTTCAGGTGCTTTTAATGTCCATTCATCTTTTAAATTCTGGTTAAGACAGAGAGTCATTTGCTCATTACAAAATCAATTTCAGACTTAAAAAAAAAACTTGGTGTAGAGAAAGGAACAACTTCACTACTTGAGAATCCCCTGCAGCATATCCAAACATGCAATAGGAATGTAAATGCAGGCTGCAAGCTTCCTAGTCCCAGTTACTGTGACTGCTTACGCCTCAAGTCTGTACTTCTATGTCACTAATAGATGTTCTGTTTCCTTCAAAGTATTTCATTTCTCCTCTGCAATGTCTTACCAATGTATCTTCCAAGGGTTTCTTTAACTCCTCTGTATTCAGAGACGGTTGCGCTGCTGGAATTTGTTCTGTCATCTCTTTTATCCATTTCTTTAATGATTCGACAAGGAGCTCAAAAGCATCCATTTGTTTCTGACAAGATGATACATCTTCTTCTCTAGACAATCAAAGACAATTAAAGGAATGTCAGTATTCCTTCAGGTATTTAAACCAATAGATATAATCAATCTGATATTGCTATTCCTGAATTCAAAGACTCACAAAAGCTGATTTTATGGATATGAGAGTGTGGAAAACCTAGTCTTGCTGTACAGGCAACTTCAGCAAGCTCTAAACAATAGCTCCAGTCTTCATTTGCAGCCTCATTCCAAACAGTTTTCTATATCAATCTGCACAAGCAGTAATTCATATTCTATCAGAGAAGGGGAGAAGCGGGGTTTCCTTAGAACTGACAGGACTCCTATGAATGTCACAAAGTTTGAAAAGTTCCTTGTCTTTACAGCCCACATTAGAGCTCTTGAATCAGACAGAGTAACTACAGTGATATTATCAAATAAAGTATGTATTTTTTAATATAAAAACCTCTCTACTCTGTGGTTAACTGCTGTTTCTTGAGACTGCATCCAAGAGGACAGCAGTCATCACAACATTCAAACTGTATTGTTAGTCAAAGCAGAAACAATTATTCAACTTACTTTTCCTTTACGGTCTCCTCTACCTCTCTGAATTTCTTCGACAAAGCATTTACTTTCTCTAGTACCAATGCTTTATCTCCAGGAAGAGCATGGAATGAAAGTTCTTCAAGAAGCTGCTGCAAAACTTCCAGATCCTTCTTGTGCTGTGCCAATTCTACACTAGCTTCCTGAAAAAACAGGATTACATTCTTCAATTTAGACTTCACAATCACTTGTTCAAAATTAAATTCTTGGCTTTAGCTAACAAACCAAGCTGGGAAACAAGCAGGCCTTATATATTGTTTCATCCCTTAGGTAAGTTACAGAAGAAATGCACAAAATACTGAAATGGAAGGGTACAGTACCTGCATGTACTGAGACACTTCACTGACATCTTTTCTTGGTGCCTCCGTCTCACTGAGTGCCTGATTCTTCTCATCTAGGAATGCCTGAAGTTTTTCTGACAGACCTTCAAATAACTCCACTTTAGTCTTCAACTCCTCCATTTTCATAAGCTTCTCTTTATGCTTGTTGCTTGCTGCAGAAAACCGCCCTGTGAGGTCACTCATTTTAGCTTTCAGTGTGGACGCAGTGGATGGATCGGCTGTTTCTGTGAACTTCTTCACTTTTTCATTCATAGTGTTTATACTGCTTTGGCGACCCATAATGTCTTGTTCTAGCATCTGAAACAAGCAAGGACTACTTTGTATTGCTTATAACAAAAATGTAAGAAGTGAAACCGGTCCACCATATGAAGCAACAAATCAGTACAGCCAGACCACCAGTACGGATCTACAAAAACCTGTATGTGAAGTTTCACTTCACAAAACAGTCCCTTTTATTTAGTATTTTGAATCCATTAAAGGTGCCAAACTAAGATTATAATTTTTTCTTGAAATCTGAATTATCAAACAACTGTTTCTTCTTTCACAGAATGCTACTTACAATGCTTTTACTAATAATATCCTGAATAGCAGCAGAATTCAAAGGCACTTGATCTTTTTCTTCAAGGCTCTTTTCAACTCCTTCCATCCAATCCAGCATTTCATTCAAACCATCCTGCACACTTAGGGATCGGGTCAGAGTTATCTGGAGCTTCTCATTCCTTTCATTCACAGACTTGGATAAATTGTCATACCTCTCTACAATATTATCTGATAAAGAGAAAAACATATTTCAATCTCTTCCTTCAGCCAGACTAGCCTTTTTGCTCATTTTACCAGTTCTCATCAGGCAAGTGTGAGTCAAAAACTGTCTACATCAGAACAAAGCAAACCCATCAGCTTTATTATTTAAAAACACACAAATCAAAGATCAAAATCTTCAAATAGAGCCAAGAAGCTCATAGGGCAAGGGAAAGGAGAGATCAGCTTACAGCTGTGCTTGGCTTCTAGAACTTGGTTCCCATGGAGCTCTAGCTTATGACAGCTGTTGACTGCTCCCAAAAAATAAAATAACAGAGTATTAAGACAGCTCTTCTACAATTACATCTCGTATGTAATTGTTAGAGCTGAAAGGTTCTTCCAGATGGTTCTTCATTAGACCTTCAATGCTTCTGGGATAAGGCTCTTAAAGTTACAAATTCTATGTACCTTCCATGGAGTTTCTTCACCAAATCCAAAGAGGCAAGGCCACTGTTGTTTTATTTTGTTGCTCTGCAAGTTACTTACGGGATTCCACTAAAAGACAGTTGTGTGATACACAAAGAGTCTTCAAATTTCAGACAGTAGTGACTGTCATGCTGTGCTACTTCTCACAACTGATAGGAAAGAGTATTTGATGTAGGTGGTAAGGTGTTGGTAGTGGCAAGATTTTTGGCTTCTATGAGAAAAAGCCAGGGGCTGCCCCATGGAAGAGACAGATGGTTCCAGCTGGCTCCAGCAGACCCACTAGAGGACATAGCTGAGCTCCTCAGCCAGGCTGGTGGTGCCTCTGGGAAAATGTATTTCAGAAAGGGAAAAATGCTGCCAGGGACTGAGAAGTGAGAAAAAAGAAAGTGTGAAAAACAGCCCTGCATACTTAAAGGCCAGACAAGAAAGAGGGGGAAGAGGTGCTCCAGGAAGCCTGTGTAGGACCACGCTGGAGCAGATAACCACATTGCAGCACATGGAAAACCCCATGCTGGAGGAGGTGGATAATTACTGTATAAACTGCAGCCCATAGAGAGCTCACTGGAACAAGATTATCTTGAAAGATATCATCCCGTGGAGAGGACTCACACTGGAGCAGGGGAAAAGTGTAAGGAGGCAGCAGTGGCAGAGAGGAGCTGTTTATGCACTGACCACAACCACCCATTCCCCACACACCCTGCCCTGTTTGGCCGGGAAGGGGTAAGAGTAGTTGAGAAGGAAGGAGGGTGATGGTGAGCCTGGGAGAAAGAGCAGAGTGGGAGGAAAGTTTTGCTTTGTCTTTGTTTCTTACTATCAAAATCTATTTTTTTTGGCAATAAATTAAACTTTCCCCAAGTTAGGTCTGTTTTATGCATGACAGTAACTGGTGAATGATCTTCCTGTCTTTATTTCAGCCCTTGGGCTTTACCATCTTATTTTCTATCCCCTGCCCTGCTGGGCAAGGGGAGTGAGAGAGCAGCTGGGTGGGCATCTGGCAGCCAGCCAAGGTCAACCCCACCACAGACAGCTTCTTGAAGTCTGAAAGAAATAATTCCTTGGCTAAGGATATTTCAAGTAATTGCTTGGGAACAGGTAGGTGGAGTCAGGTTCCTTGAACCTGAATGTGCTCCTTCTCACTAGAGAATTTATAATGACTACCTCTGTTTTGCATGCCCATCTGTAACACGGGAATTAAACATAATCCAAATTTCTGAAAAAAAAAAAAAAAAAAAAAAAAAAAAGGGGGAAAAAATAAAATGACAGCTTTTAAGTGAAAAGCATATGGATCAACATAGGAGACAAACCAGCAATGAAGTTACTGTGTTATAATAGCTTATAAAACATGAACTTGAACAGTGACACAAGAATGTGGAAACTGTATTTTGTAACTTCCAGTACCTGCAAGCAGACACAAGTGATAAGAAGAGGTATTAAGAAAAGTAAACATTTTACCCAGTGTTTTCTGAATTTCATCTTTATCTGGTGTCAACTCTCCTCTTGTATCCAGTAACACTTCAGCAGCTTTTTTCAGTTTTTCTACAGCAATTTGGTGGTTAGACACTTGTCCCTGAAGAACCTGTAAAATTCCACAATTATTTATGCTTTTCAGTACAGCTAACAGTCCCACATGCAAGGCTTAAGGTATGCCACGCAACCTAAACTTAGAGCTGGAAATTCAGTTTGTGACCTCTCCTTAAGAAAAATCTTCACCACTGGTTATGACTGCTCTTGACCTTCTGGCCCTTGTTTTAATTTACCATCTTTTTTATCTTCCATTTTACAATACTTCTCTGACTCAACTGATTTCTTGTGTGCAACTTCAAAATGTGTATTTTGATTAGCTGTTTTTTGAAGACCACTCGTACAAGCTCATATACTACCTGAAAGAAAAATAAACATATTTTTCAACTCAGCATCTGAGAATAATTCATGAGAAAAAAAAACACACAGTCAGCAGCAGTGGTTACACATTCACTGCCACTTGTATTGACAAAGGATCAGGCTGATACCACAGCACAAACAGGAATAGCTTGAAACAAGAGAACTGCTTTCACGGTTCAGGAACCTCCTCAAGCCAGTGTCACTGAATTTTGACTAGGTTTGTCCATCTAACCAAGGAACACAGATTTAGAGACTAGCCCAGCCATGACTTGCTCTGGAGTCAACAAAGATTGGAAGGTTGAATCAACTTCTGAAAGTGTTGTTCCCTCTCTAGTGTATAGTCTTAAATTATTTCAGGCCACTCTGTTAGCATATATATGATGTATCTTTGGTTTGATTCACTCAAACTTTATCCAAGTGCAAAATGAAGGGACTTCTCATTTATTTTTTGATACACACTAACTCAATAAAAATATGACTCAAAAGGTAATCCTATCTGCCCTGCCAATACAAAGAAGTCACATCAGTGCATCTAGCACTGGTACCCAGAGCACAATGGTATGCCAGAACATAGTAAGTCTAGCTGACCCACTTGACAAAATAAAATTCAGATAGACTTGAAAATTAATATTCCTTACACTAGAGAAATATACTGTACTTCTGGAGGAAAAAAAAAAAAAAAGAATAAAAAAGAAAAAAAAAAAGATGTACCAGAAAACATGTGTGCTGACAGAAAGCAAGCAAGCTGATGCCAGAAACACTGAAGAATAATCCGAAGAGCAATTAATCCCCATAAAAAGATTAGACCCCACTATACTGCCAAGGTCTGTGTCTAGCTGGATTATCAGCTGCATGTGTTGGCTACACGGGACAGCTTTAACTTGCAACACCTGACTTCTTAAAAAATACTCTTTTGTTTTGCTTTCATTAATTGGCTTTCTTTCTGCAGCCTCCTGTTTTTTCTCTTCCTTTGAGTCTCCTGACATGTTGCACCCTCTCCATTCTTCTCAGCTCATATTCAATGAGTGCTCTTTTGTGTGGCAAGTAATCCATGCAGGCTTTTCATAAAAGAACCCCAATACCCATCCTTTTGTATTACTTGCATGAAAATTGGCATTATACAAGATATAATTCGTTTTGGCATAAGGAACAAAAAGTTTAAATGAAGCTTCAAATTGTAGTTAGCGTTATTCCTACTCTTCTAGCGCTTGGAAGCACAAACGTACCCGAATTGTTCCTCTGTTAGCAATTCAAAGTTCACACTTTTAGTTTTGTTGTATTACAACATTGCTGGGATTTGTCTCCTCTGATGTGTCATGCACCACACTGCTGGGCAATTCCAGTGGTAGATTTAAAAGATACCATGTGGTAAAGGTAACTATTGCTCAGGCTGACGTAAGGGAAATGGTTAAAGCACATACTTTCCAAAAGCCACTGACAATCATTTCTCAGCAGTAAACATATCAGACCTGCACTGATACTTCACACAGCACAGATAAAACAGTGAGGAAACACCTGACCCGAGCCTTGCCCACTGAAAAAGAAATAATCTTGCATTTTAATTACAGTATAGATAAAAATATAAGAGCCAGTTCAAAGATGACAGACTGTATGAAACTTTATACAACCCATTTTATACTTCAAAACTTTCAAGATTTCACCCTATCATTTGCTAAGTGATTTGAAACACGTCTTGCTTTCACCTCTGCTAATGGCATCTTGGTGCTTGATTTCTTTTTCACCCTAATGTTCTCCAGGAAACACATTGGATAGCTGAATTTCAGAAATATAAGTTGTGCGCCCATGTGCAAGGCAAGAATTTGGCCTGCAGCCACTTGGATTATGTTGGATTAGCCTGATTTTCAGACAGAAAGCAGCTCTTTTTAGGACAAAAGTACTTATGCATTTTAAAGCTTTTCACCTTGGTTTCTTCTAGTTGTCTCTGGAGATTTTTGGGATCCACTGCAACTGGCTCTGACAGTTGTTTGTTCACAGCTATTTCAGAGGCCTGGAGACCTGACAAAAGTCCAGATGAGGCATCTTCATAATGCTGGTATTTATCCACCAGGTCTTTAAGGTTATTTCCAAGGATGCTACACTAAAAGAGTAGAAAACAAACAAGCAAATACCCAGGCATTAAACTGTGTGCTGCACTTCATACCAAACTCAAGGTCCTACTTTCCTTCCTGAAGTACTGTGTGATTTTCTCCTGTCATCATTCCACTGTCTAACTGATTTCTGAACTAAGGCATGACAGCTGGACATGCTACACAGGTCCTCCCAGTCTGTGCTCCTCAAGCACGATTTAGGATCAATTTACTAATGCAGCTGGGAAAGTGGAATCTAATCCACTGTACTAGAATAGGAAAAGCCTTAGGAATACTTTTTGATCCATCAAAAAGATACTTTACTGTACTTTATCAGTACTCTGACATCAAAATTTAGCCAGTGGAAGCTAGAAATTTAGAAAAAAAATCAGAATATATGTGTATGCTCATTCAAATACAGATGAATAGAGTTTTGCCTTCATAAGTAACTTATCTGCACAGCAAATCCAAAGTAATATGGCTTGGTATTGCACATATGTTTTGTTTTGGTCACTTAAGAATGTCATCTGACCAAGCTCCTATTAGTCCTCTATGTTAGTCCACCTTAAAATGTATACAGTGAGTCATCATGTAAAAAGGTCACTGGTACTCTTTCAGATTTTTTGAGATGGTTTCACAAGCAAAATCTGATTGTATGAAGTCATAATATTTATAAACAGTTACTGTAAATATTTATATTCTGAACCTTCCACACACTGTATTTTCATATTTACATGTGTTACTTGGTCTCCATCTGGTGGACAAACATAGGACGGACTAAAGAATGGACTAGTTAAATGAGAATTGACTTCAACAGGTTAGCACACATATATATATATATATATGTATATATATTTACAGTTCTAGAATATTATCAATATTGAATAACAATTTGGTTTGGTTTGTTTTTTTGTTGTTTGGTTTTCTGTGGTTTTTGTTTGTTTTTTTTTTTTTTGTGTGTGTGTGTATGTGTTTTGTTTTGTGTTTTTTTTTCTTTGTTTTCTGTTTTTTTTAAACAGCTGTTAAGTTGTTGGCATGTTGAGACCAGTTGGAGATATTTGTCTAGTTCTGTCAGACAGATTCCACACATGAACCTGGCACAGAGAGATGGATTATCTTCATGCTCTAAGGTAGATGGAGTTTTGCACTGTTAGCTTCCCAGCAGTTAGAGACTAATCTCAGATTGCTAAGGATAAAATGTGTATTTGTCAGAGTAGTGGAAAAGAACTGCTATCCTCAAATCACTATGTTCTTGCATGCCTAGTGCTGACAACAAAAGGTCACATTGTGACAAACCATTTCAGGATACAAATCAAACTCAAATTTTGAAATTTTGGGAAATTTTTTTTTTTTTTTTAATGTTAAATAAGCAGTTGTGGGGAATATCACAAGGAATATAAAGAAGTGTTATACATCTAGAAGTATTACAATTTCTTTCCACCCCAAAATGTTATTCAGACATCCTGTACTATCATACACTCAAGGAGTTTAAGGCTGGAAAGAACAATGAAGGAATCTGGTCTTACTTCTCCCTTATAACAAAAGGTAGAAAATTTAATCCATTCATTGAATATTCTGGCACTTGACTAAAGCAGCTATTCTAGAAAAGCATCTTGTTCTGTTACCTAACATTAAAAAACAATTTACTACTTCCCACAGCATTTGTTTCATCAGCTAGCCCCTTTTACACAAACTGCCAAATCCATTATAGTAGCCTTTCCTACTCAGCATAAATAAAACTTACCTTAGTATAGAGAGATTTGAAACGATCTGAGGCATTATCCAGTTTATTCTGCACTTCAGTATATGTAGCTGAAGTATCAATACCATCTTTGTCAACCTTCACTCCATCTCTTTTGCTACACGACCTTGCAGCATCTAAAACTCTTTGTCCAGCAATTGTAATATACCGTAAATCACCTTTATGAGATATCACATCTTCTGAAAAACTCTTTTGCCTTTTCAGTTTGACCATAATACCGCTGAAGTCAGAGGCACCTGCCTGCAGGTTGTCGAGTTCTTGTTCTGCCTGCTGCAGCCAGGTTTCAAATTCACTATAGTCTGCATCAAATTTCTCAAGTTCTTCTCTTAGAGAATGAGTCAATCTCATTTTCCGTTCGGATTCAGCTAAAACGGTTTCATACTGAGCCTTCAGTTCTTTCATGTTCCTTTGCATCTTCTCTTTTTCTTCAGGGGAAAGGTAGTGCCCTTGTCTCTCAAGCAGTGCCTGAGCAGACTGAGTTGCTACTATGACAGCCTGCTGCTGGGAAATGATTTTCTCATGTTGAGCCTGCAAGAAAAAAAAAGAATAAGTTATGACCAACAACTTCTTGGACAGTTCCTTAGAAATGACAAGTAAAGCAAAGTCCACCAAAATGATAAAAAGATGTTCTAATCTTCACATTATTCCTTTAAAATCATTTTGTAAGTTAAGTGAAAGCATGACTCCTGGTCATCACATTTTTGTGCAGTTTCAGCATTTTACAAAACATCCAATGGTAATTTTAGCCAGGTATGCAGACCATGATCAAATGGGAGTTTTCAAATATCATTGGAATTCAGAAATACTAAGAGATATAGATATATAAATATATCACCCAAACACTTTCCCCTGTATTTCTAAAAGCCAACTCTGTATACTAAAACTAGGTATTACAAATCTCTCCTAATAAAGATTATTTCCTTACTACTTAACATTTACGGTAGCATCTTAGTGTAGTCAAAATTCTCCTAATTCCCTTTCTCAAAACAGAATTAATCAAATAAAGCATTCAAAGGTAGGCAACTTTCCATATCGAAACTTTTCCACTTCCTGTTACATATATTATAGCTACCATTTCGAACAGACCAAAAAGAGTGAAAGCATTAAATATTAAAAAGAGTACAGATAGTTTCTTCTTATGCTGAGTGAACAAACTTTGTTATCCTTTTTTTTCATTTAATTTTAATTTTAATTTTTTTCATTTAATTTTCAATTTCAAGAGCAATGATTCTTATTAAATACACTTGGTCATAGAAAAGGTCCCTTTGACCTTAAAAAGTGAGACACATTCTATGCACGTAAATCGTTTCAATCTCATTTAAAAAACAGTTAAATCATAGTAACTAGAACTGTATGCCAAACAAAAGCCATATTTCAAATTTATTCTTTAAAATAAAAAAATCTCCATTCTTCAAGGTCTTCTGCTCTCTCATAAAATAGATATGGAAAATAGACTGGTATGCTTTTCTTTCCATGAGTACAGTTGGCATTTATCCTGCAAGCATTAGGTGCAGAGAAGGACTATCAAAAAAGGGGATGTAAAAACATTATGTACACAAAACCAAATGATCTTTTCTTCTTAAATTGGTGGGGTTTTTTTGTTTTTAAGGATTTTTTTTTTCAGTAAGAAAGGAAATCCAAAATAGTATCAGCTATCAGCATAATCATTTTTATCAACATGTCCATCAAACAACACCTAGAAGTTCTTGGTGGCTCACTTGTAAATGAACAAAAGCTATAAAACTCAACTCTTAATATTTTAAATGTTTCCAATTATCTTACCCAGAAAATTTATTTTTAAAATGCTGTGCTGTGGTTTCATGTAACTCATCCTTTTGAAGCCTTCAAATAGAGCTTTACCGACATGTTAAAGTTATAGAGGATGAAGACTGTAATTTCAGCAAACTATTATTTGCAGCTATTGGCAATCAGTGTTCATATTGAATGGCAGGGGTTGAATCATTTGACATTACAAAGAATTTTGAAAAAAGTCACATAAAGGGTGTGCATCTATGTTGCTGCTTTTTGGATTTTATTTACCTGCATTAATTTCTCACTAAAAAAATTAAGAACAGAGTCAACATCACGAATCTTAACTTCTGCCTTGTACAGTGTGTCCTTTTTCTTACTGTGCAGGAAAACACCATAGTAAGAGGGGAAAAGAGTGACAAATTCACACTACATTCTAACAACTGAAATTCCTATAACTGCAGATGCCCAACTCCCTAGTGCCTGTTCCAAAGTCTGTGACAGAAAGAATGACATGGAATTCACTCATGTTGAAAAAGGACTGACAAGCTTAGATTCTAAATGTTGAATAAACCCACTAAGAGTACCTTGACTTTCTGATACTGCTGGTTCAGATTATCTTCTGTGCTTCTGGCCAATCCGTCCACCTGACTTTCAAAGTCTTGCTGAATTTCCAGCAGGTTACCATTGACATCATCCTCCTCTCCTTCCAAAGACTTCACATTCCCCTCTTCAAAGTGTGTTCCATTCTGTTCTATCGCCTGCTTAAACTTCCGCCCGTGCTCTGCTTCTTTATCCACATTCGATAGCCAGTCCAAAAGGTTTTCTATTGTACTTTTACTTTCTTCTAGCTGTTCTATGGCTGCAACCTACATGGAAATTTTACAGTTTCAGTTTACAAATCTTCAGCCACTACAAAATATCACATGTAAACAGATCTCTCAAAATACATTATTAACATTAAACAAAATACTGATTGACGAATATGTTGCTGTTTATTTTATAAAGAAAATAAACCAGCAAGCAGTTTATCAGTCACCCAAACAAAATACAGTTTTAATCTCTCTACACTGTATCAATAATAAATTGCAAGATTAACCCGTAAGACAAAAAAAGTTTGAATAAAGCTATGAAATGGTTGCGTAAAAACCTTTTCTGTTTCCTGCTTAATTGCTGTTGTCATAGCTTTATCCAGTTCTTTTTTGGACTCTTCTGCCTTCTGGCTAAGGAGCAAACACTTTGTCTTAGCTTCATTCAGTTTCTGTTCAAGATTAGTCTTGTCTTGTTGTGACAACTTTTCTCCATTCTCTTTCAAGAAGTTTTCAGTATTTTTCACAATGTCTGCCAGTCTCTGGGCACTCAATCTCATGTCTTTTTGTATCTCCTTTTGAGAAAAAAGAAAGTAAATAGGAGTAAGTAAATTATTCACTAGACCTTTCCAATTAACTTTATTGGAACTATCTCTGTTCTGGGGTAAGCACTACACTGGTCCCTTCTAACTTGGGAGAGCACATGATACATTACTAAATTGCAGATAGGATTATTATAAAATAAAATTGATTCACCCTCTGACAATGTTGCTACAGCTCAACCTGTTCTGGTGGTTTTGATTTTTTTGTTGTTGTTGTTGTTGGGGGGGTTTGTTTGTTTTAATTGCAAGCCTGTTGCCTTACACTCCTATTCAGACTGAGGCCGCTTTTTGCTTTGTTTAGCAGCTCAAGTATTGTATTTCCATTTATACAGAAATAAAATATATATCTTATTTTGTAGATAGCAAGAGATAAATTAAGTCTGCTACACTATAGTTAGCCTCCTGACAAATTCCATTCCATTACTATCCTAAATGAAAGCTGTGCAAAATAAGGGGACTGAATACAAGTCAGAAACTTGTAGTCTTCTTTCCTAGATGGAAGTTGTCCCATATTTCTTAGTTTTTTTCATGCCAGAAATGGCCTGTGAATATTTTCATTTAATTGTAATCAATCATAATATTTTAATCCCCAAAGAATGTTTAAGTCCATTACATTTCATACAGTTTATGCAAAGTAGTTTTCCTAGTCCTATGATAAAGTCAGATTAAAAAAGAAAATCTGCCTCCCAGTTATCTGAGGGGATCTTTAATTATAATTACACTGTTGAATACATTCCGTTAATGAAATAAGGTCTTTTTTCTATGTGCAGTGTAACACTCTTGAAGCTGCAAGACAAAACATTTTATTCTCATTCTAGACTACAGATTTTGCAGCAATTGTAGAATATAGTTTGGCAGCTAAAACTGCAGCGCATTTTAGTTAGGTTGGGAAGATTTTCCTGGGAACAATATATCACGACAAGATTCTTCTTCCCTGACAAAGATCTCTGTGCTCCCTTTTCAACAGCTCACTGGGGACAAAAGCTCTGACCTGTGATATATAAAAGACCTTCTGTAAGCCCTCACTGCCCTCCTGAGACACCCTTCTACAACAGTGTCTATGAGAATTAAGTCAGCAAACAACCACTAGGCTGCTCAGCAGTCACAAACAGCTGATGGAAAAAAAATGAAGCAGATGCTGTATCAGTTCTTCACTCCCACGGGTACCCCATTTAGGTCATAAATTCCTAGGACAGACAAGCAATACTAAGAGGTACCCCAGGGGTGTCCATATCTTTCCACTGACTCTAAGAAGAACTTTGACAAACTAGATGTGTTACTTTGAAGGTAGGTAAAGCAAGGCAAAATGAATAAGGAAATTATGAAACCTGATTTGGAGTTCTACAGTAAACTACTGCTTGCAGGATGAGGAAAAAGAACAGTACCAAGTCCATTAGTCTTTTATCTACCATAAACTCAACTAGTGTCACTCAGAACAGAGTAAAACTTTACAGATGACAGGATACAGCTGAAAAGCAAGGTCTCAATAGGAAAGTAAGCAAACTCAAAGGACTCTGCTACACAAGGACATCAAAGAGACTGCAAAGAACACTAGAAAAAACAGAATTCAAACCAAAACAAGAGTAAGGTACTGGGAAGCCCCAGGCAAGAGAAAGCCTTGCAGCAAAATCCTTCAAAATACTGTGAAGAGGAATAAGCAGTCCCTGAAAACTGTTTAATAGCTGATTACATTATTTTAGCATAACAGACCATGTTTCTTTATTACATTTGACACGAACAATCTTAAGGTACATGTAAGATATTTCATGCCTGCTCCAAAAGTGCTTCTTTAAACATCTAGTACATACTCCCAGTTCTGGTGTCCCCTAGTTTGAAAGTTCCTTTTCTCCCACTGGCATATACTGGGGTGTATTCATGGGCAGCAGTTGAACAGCATGCCATTAAGCCTTTACTTTTTGTAGGTCAAAGAGATCTATTCCACACTCCTCTCACATGACAAGTCTTGTTATCCAGCAAAAGAGTCTAGTCACTCTCCTCTGCACTCGGTCATCTTTGGCTTCTCTGACTAGAGTGGTGCATACCTCCTGTTTGGTCTGGTATTGTTCTAGCTCAGCCTTGCTGTCTCCAATAACAAGAGACTCGTGCTGCCCGATGAGTCGATTTTCAGTCTGTGTAAGCAAATCACAGATTTCCTGCAGCTTC